CTTTCGTTTCAGCGAGAGAAGGGCGAGTTGGTCGGTTCGCGAAATCCAGGGTTATTTTTTTCACGTTGCGCTACGAAGGGGTTAATTCTTTAATGGACGTGTAACGCGAGAGCATATGCAAGTGTATACGCAAAATATTTTTATTCTTTCGAAATTTCGGATACAGAAGTATATATATATATATATATATATCAGAATTATATAAACACTGCGATAAGAGTTTTAATACTTTGCATATATACATGGAGAAACTATTAAAAGTTCTAGTACTCTTATCAAAACGTTTCTGTTGGAGATCGTTCGAAAACAGCACGCCATTTTGATTGCCATTTATTTGTATTATCGAGCATTAATTTGCTTTTATTATCAGCGCAGATATACTCGGTGCTCTTGACGCGTGAAGAGAAAAGTATCCGCTTATCGGATAAAATGTCAAGGGCGATGTAACAGCGACAGGAAATGTTCGATCTCTTGTTTTAATTTTCTGGACAATTTTGGCGGACGCGCGGTGTATGATCAAACATATATTCATTGTTGAAGACGTTCGTTATGTATACGATCGAATGATCTCTTCGATAATAATTAACGCCGTACGATAACCTTCGAGTGCCACGTTATGATTTACGGTGGCGTATACCGTATCCGCCACGCCGCCTCGCTACGTAACCTATCCGAGTAATCTGACGTTTGAGTTTTCTTCGGGCCCAAAAAGATTAAATGAATTAAATGAATTATTTTTTTTAATAATTTAAATCTATCGCTAAAATTAATTTTACATCTTGATCTTATTAATTAAATCACCTTTAATTTCAAAAGAATATAGGGAAAAGCTATGAAAACTGCACTTCGAATGCTTCTGTATCCAAGAAATACGTCAAATCAAGAGAAAACCTTTATTTTGATAGTCAAAACTGATAATTTTTTTGTTACAAAATTTGACTGTTTATTGACGTTAAGAATCAGAATAAAGTCAAATTGATTTTTTTTGTTGTCGATTTTTGCGTATTCTTCCGATTGTTTGGTTCTCTTTCCTATTCACATCGAGATCGCACGCGCGTGTTAGAAAGCTCGTAGTCCATAAACGAGGGCCCTCAGTTGACGTCGTCGAAAGAACGTTGCGGTTCCGGATCGCGAGCGGCCGCATTCCGGGATGGCGCAAAAGTGCGGACGTGTTCGTTCCTCGCTCGCTTCGTCGTCTCTCGCCTCGCGAACGTAAAAATGTGTTATTTACCTCGCCGGTCGGTTATTCTCCATCAGTGCCCCGTGTAAGTGCGGCGAGTGGCACGCTCACTGAAACTGGCGTCTGGCACTAGCGCGCTTTTCGCCGCCGAACGTTCCGCACACTTTTCCTTTCACACGACACTCACTTGATCTTGCCACTAAATCATCATTCGTTACTTAGCCCGCGAGCCCGCTGCCTTCGATTATCAATGACGCTTTGTCTGTCGCGACCGGTGCTGTCAATTTCAACTCATAAACAGCAATGTCAACGACAATTATCAGCAATCACGATAAGGAAATTTAGAAAAAAAAAATTAAATTATAAGAAAAAGAAAAGGGGAGGGGAAGGGGAAGAAAGAAGAGGAAGGATCCGAATCACTGTTTTTCAACACAATTGCAAATTTCTCGTTTTGAGAAAGGATAAGGAAGAGATTCCGGCAAAACGCGTATCCGAAAAAAATCGGGAGCGATATTTTATCAACGACTATGTGTACCGATATAGTCAGGGCCGGCCGAGCGCCCAATGCGGACTGACTATAACTGTAAACGATCACTTGTTGGCGAAGTGAGCGAGGAGGCCCCACCGGCTTCCCTCGGGGACTCCCGCCACTGGCATGAATATACTCGTGCGACAACGTGCCAGCGTATACCGAGAGTGGCATGCCGGCGTACATCGAGAGGTACCAGCGGACCACCTCGCAGCTCCCACCAAACCAGTTCCTACTCCAGAACCGCTTCCACCTGCTCTCTCGCGCTCTGAATATGCTCCGAATATGCGCCCGGACGCGCCCGGCCGATTACCCGGTCGAAAAAAAAAAAAAAAAAAAAAATCGAAAAAGAACCTTTCGTGGAATCGCGAAGTAACATTTAGAAAGAGCGAGCACTCACATCGGACATTCCTTTTTCCGATCTCTCAACCTGAATCCGATCCTTCGAGTTCTCTCGGATTAAGAATGTTCTGATTTTGTAATCTTTATCACGTGCGACTGGCTTTATTAGAAGACTTTTCCTTTCGATAAACGATGTTTGTTTGTTCTCTCTTTCTCGTTCTTTTCCTTTTATTCTTTATTTTTTTTTTTTTTTATATTACTAGGAAGTATGACTTGATGTTATGTAACGTGCAACTTCCGCAAAAATGTGTGGAAACCTGTTGCGCATTTATCGTTGCTATTAATAAATTGTCGAGTACCTAAACGTATCGTGCGCCTCTTCCTTCGATGGATGTTTTTATCGTTATTTTTTTAGTTTGTGACAGTTTTAACTTAATTGTTATTCTGAGGAGATATAATTATCTGCAAAGTGTCGAGTCGATTCTTCAGCTGGAATCGATTGTTCTTCGCGTTGTCGAAGCACTTGTAACTTTCAATTAATTATCGTGATTAAAAATAAGAGACTTCTTTAACATAAACTAACTTTGAGGAAAATATTTCCCGTAATTTTTTAATAAACTTCAAGACTTTAAACCTTGATTTAAAAATTAATCATCAAAATGTGCAAAATTAGAAAAATGTTAGAAACTGTTATCTTTTTCGAATTATCTTGAAGTTGTCTAAAGAAAGAAATTAAAAACAAAGGCGATTTTTTTCTCGTATAATTATTGAATACAATAGTTAAATATAAGTGATATTTAAAGGTAAGTGTTGCAAAAAGTCAACACTGGAATTGAACATTATTATTTGCTATATAAAGTTTAATAAAATTAATATTGAAAAATTGTTTATTTCATTTTAATTATTGTTTTAAACATGTGTGTGAAAAATTGTTTACTTCTTATTGAAATAATATTTGCTCTAGATTCTAAATCACCGATTTTGTATTTTATAATAATTAATGTCTTCTATTCTACGTCGTAAAAATGCGTTAATATTGTTACAATCCGTAAGTTACTTCTATCGGAGTTTCTCGTGGCTCCTTGTTCGAACCGGTTCCTGACGATTCGAAAAAAAACTGTTATCTTTAAAGCCACGAATCTCCTGGCCGAGAACCGTACGTTGTGCGACGCTGCAAAACGTGTCGCCACGCTGATTGCGCACAATTATAAAAAGAAAAAAAAAAAAAAAAGAAAAGAAAACAGATCGAGAAGAATACAGCCAATATACAGCCTACTTATTTTCGTCGAGTGACGTTCTTCCGAAAAACGCGAGAACGTCGACGGGGTGCAGCGAGGCTCCGATCAGGATTTCGCTTCCTAACCGGAACACTTTCGTCGCGCTTGCTTTCTAGATCGCCACCGATAGATCGTCCGACCGATGCGTTCCGCGACATAACGGTACAGCGAAGGAGCATTCCTGCTGGGCTGAATCGGTCGAACGTTGCACGAACCTCCGTTCGCTGTCCACAACCGATGATCACGCATCGGTCAAGGTCCCCCTCTTCTACCTTTTCCACGCTACTACCTTCTTCCACATTTGTACGGGCGAGCCACCTTCACCTTCTCTCCAGCACCGCGGCGTCCTTTTCTTCTCTCTCCTCTCCCCCTCTTCCCCCCCTCTCTCTCTGTATCTTTCTCTCTCTCTCTATCTTTTTCTGCCTCTCTTTCTGTCTCTCTCATCTTGTTCTCGTTTTTTCCCCTGCCTTTCGCGCCGCGCTCCAACCGACAAATGAGGGAAAATGCGTTCTACGTTTAGCTTGAGTTACGCCGAGATGAGAACAATGCATTCTTACGTCAGAACTAACGAACGAACGAGCGAGCGAACGAATGATGAACCGGACGATTACACTTGTAACGATGATGTCGCTCGCAGAAACACCCGTGACACGCGAGCGCGCACCGTAAGTCTTTGTGACGTAATCCGTTATCGAATCGTAAGATAACGTTCATTCCGAAATATCGAAATTTCACCGGATTGACATCTCGCCAGCGTACGATGCTAATATATGTCAGACAACGGAATAGATAAATACACACGATAACGCAACTACGTGTTCGCCAATGTATAAATGTATATTGACTTGATGTCTTTATCGAGATATTCATGGAATTCTGTTAATTTATTATTATTCTTGTGGAAGTATAAGTTCTTCAACGTAAACTGTAGTAAATTATAGTTAATCCGAATTATCAATTAAGAGAAATAAATTTATTTTCAATCAAAGCGGATTTTAGTGCTTAAATATTTCAGAATGAATTTATAAACATATTCAATTCAAATCGCGCGCCGAAATCTTTCTCAGTCTTGAAAATTTAGCATTTATGAATAGAACTAGATCTGAATTTTCAAAGACAGAGCAAACTTTTGAGATTCTTTTTCTGAAAAGGCTTACTTATTTTCCTTTATTATATGCGAATGTAGGAGTCATACAGTTCTCCTTGCTCGACTTAATGCTAATTTGGTTCCTACATGGACTTACTGTGAAACAATAGCGTCCCAAATCTCAATGGCAATTGCGTTATTGGATCGTTCGGTTGATATCAAACGCACGACAGCACTCGGTGCTCTCTTGACTCGGCAAGAATTCAACTGAAAACATATTGATACACACCTTCTTTTCTGCATGTTCTCGGCAGCATAAGAGTGTAACTTGCATTCTTGTCGCATTGTCCCAGGACAATGTTCAGCTCGATAAAGCTACCGACTTTAACTTACACCTGGTGTCTTAGAATTAGAGCAAAGTGTACGCACAATGTTTCTCACAAAGCGCATTTGCATATAATACTTCAGAAAATAAGAATCGAGAACGATCGACGTCTTTCGCAAATTTCAATGTTCAATAGTATTTAATTAACCTAATGAGGTACAAACGAAAGTTCTATCAAGGAAAAATCCCTTCTAAATATGATCTATAATACTTTAACCCGTGGGAATCTCAGCTCAAAAAGAATCTTTTATTTTTTAGCTAGACAGTTCATTAATGTCTTGTCAGTAGCATGAATCATTATGAAATTTCAAAACATGGAACGTTATTTATTTACATAAGACATTGTCTTAAGGCTCTTGAGTAGTCAGCATAGCCATATTGATGTCAGAAGCGAGAAATGACACATTAATTTTGGTTACGTGCCATTTGTAAATAAAGATAATTTGAATAAAACAAAATTATGACATCGCTTTTTTTTTAAACATTTGTAAAAATAGATACAAAAACTACTACTAGATACTTATCTCTCTTGACAGTTAGTAAATAAAAAGTGATTAAAAATACGTGTAAATGAAAATAGGCTATGCACGCGTATTGAATAAAAATACTTAATAAAAATTAACGTGTCATTTCTGACTTCTGACATCACGATTCAATATATGGCTCCTGAATATTCAGGAGTTTTAACTAACGCTGCATGTGTTTGTTTATCAAAATTGTATATATTTTGATATAAATAAGTAATACAATAGCATAATCTTGTAAATTCCTTTTCTTCATTATGTATATTTTCACGGAAAAAGAATGGTTTTAATAAAGCATTTAAAAATTTAGCTAGATACAGCTCTAAAAATAATTTTGTTGAACTATCAAAATAATTAAGGACGCTCAAACTGGCTATTAGAATGTAAAAACTTTTTACATTATTGTTCATTATGTTTGAGTTTCAAAATATAATTATTTTGACAGTTCAATGAAATTATTTTTGATTTTAGATAAATTTTTTCCCGTTCTTTCCGTGTTGAAACATGCAAATACAAAAATAAATAATCACGATTCATATCTTGACGATTAAGAAATACTTGATGATATTCTTCTTATAATGAAGATAACTTATTTTTTTCTTAATTGCATGTATATATAATATAAAAAGTTACACATTATTCTTATAATGAAGATAACTCATTTTTTTCTTAATTGCATGCATACATATAAAAAGCTTCATAAAGTCTCTGAAATCGTAATCTCTTAACAAGAACGTTTATATCGTCAGTCACATTGGCAATATTTCATGATCGATGTCTCTTTGGTAATTGAAGAATCCTTAAAAGGACAGAGAAAGATCGTATTCGATCTTATTTAACTTGATCCCGGTCATGAAAAACCGGTTTTAGCGTTTCTTCGTTACACTTCGCACGCATTATGCCTCATCCGCAGTAAAATTTTTAAGGAACTATCGAGACTTTCCATTTCGAAATGATCGATTCCATTAATTAATTCCCAAGGCATAATATCGTCTTGGTTATTGATATTTATGGCATCATTAACGAAGTAATGTCTAAAAAATGTCCTCCAGTTTTTTTACTCCATTCGATCACTTAATCTTATCATGATACTTTTTTTCTTTTTATAAGTATCCCTTTATCCATGTTTATTTCTGAAAGTCTAAGATTATAGAATCAAAATTTCCAAGCAGTAATTTTTT